AAAAAAAATATATTTATTAGGGATATTGGCTGAATAGAACAGGGAATGTATACCTAATTTAGCAGCAGTCCTTCTAGCTGGATATACATGACCACAAGGACAGGAACGGCAAGCCACAGGAATCTGGGGAAAAAAGGCAAAAAAAAATAATTCCAATCCAATTTTGTTCTTGTATAAGATAAAAAAATTCAACTTAGCCTGCTTTAAACAATGTAACTTTTTATCATCTTTCTGGATAAAAAATACAGGCAGATTTCATATAGCATAGATTGAGATTTTAAAGAAAGTTTAAATGGGATGCATTCAGGAAGCTTCACCCCAAATACATGATATGTTTTAGATAAACACTGGGTGTCACTTTAAATATATATTTTTCTCCAAAATGACCATGCACATGGAGCTGGCTGCACATAAAATTTTACACAATATATCCAACCATTTGCAGTTATGAAATTACATTAAATACATCATTATCTAAAAATAAAAAGTGTGTATAAGAGATTATAAATAAATAAATAATTACAGGTTTATTTTCACGAAAAAAATATTTCGAAAAATTAAAAAAGAGAAAAACTTTTTTAAAAACAAAAAGAGTGCAAAGTCAACACTCACTTGCTGTTTACATGCTGGGCACCGTTTCGTCACTGTTCTAGTAAACTTATCTTTCGGTCTGGAGCTCATTGCACGAAACGAACTGTATAAATATCGCAAAATGTACTAGGCTTTAAAAGTAAATTAACTGCTCATTTTATTCATGCTTTCTCAGTGTTGACAAACTGCATCCGGAAGTCTCGCGTGTCACGTGACTAAAAGATGGGCCTCATCTCAAACCACAACAACAACTTCAACAACAATCAAAATTTGCAATTTAAAGGACCGCTTGTTTGAAATATTTCACTACAACCAAATTCAACTTAAGATAAGATATAAACATTAAGTGTGCAATATGCCATTAGATAGAAACCTTTTTTTTGTTTGACCTAGATTACAAGTTCACGATGGCAGAACGAGAGTCTCGTTGACACTGTTTTCTGGGTCACTACAACAAGTGCTTGGCGATCTGTGCAATCTTTAGGCATTCCACAAAATTCCATTGCGTATTGAAGAAAATATAGAATGGTAAGTTAATTTTTCTAGTCAGCAAAATAGTAGAGAGTTAAGGTAACTAAATTAAGCAAAAATAGACGCAGTGTGATGTGTTTCCGTTGTTTGGTCTTCTCATAAAAATAACGTACTAGTAAATGTCGCTCAAGAACGCGAGTGTATGTAGCTTACACGGGTTCCACTTTTTCGTGTTCTACTTCTAAGTCTGTAGTTTTGCTACTTCTTAATAATTCTTGAATTAAAACTTCGGTTTTGTTTAAAAACTGACAAAACTAGTTGCGTTTTTGAAGGTTTTGTGTGCAATTTGCAATCACTGGCACTGAATTTATAATTTTTCGTCCAAGATAAGACAGGCCCATTGAAAGTTATTGTAGTGCAAGGTCTTAGTTATAAGACATTTGATAAAATGACGGTCTACATTGTATTGCCTTGTACAGATAGCCATTATAATAATAGTGTTGTGAGATCACCTGCCTCACGGTCATGTAAATTGTTATTATTCAAAGTGACCAGTCACTTAATATGCTGAATGTGATGTGGTATGAATAAAATTGTGCATGTGTGTTACAAGAGGGGAAAAGTTTATAAATACAGGATAAACTTTTCCTAAGATGTACAATGTATGTAGTCTTGAAAACCAACACTGGGAAAAAAGTTATGAAAGGTATATTTTTATTCACAAAATTGTATCATTCAAATATTCTGAAATAAAGAAAAATATTTCAATAAAAAATTGAAGTTGACCTAATTAATGACAAAAATCTCATAATTCTCTTTAAGCCCAGTGAGACCACTCAGGTCAAGGTGGTGGTCAAGGCTCGCCCCCTTCTAGAGGTGGAAGAAACTAAAGGTGGGAAAAATGTGGTCAAGATTTCTGGAGACAAAATCAGTGTGGACACAGGGGGAAAGGTCTGTTCAGTGTTTAATGGTTTTAAATAATGATTTATCTTACTCTTCATGTGAATACAATAACTGAATCTATGAATTAAAAGCCATGTAATTAACCTAAGACACTTGAAAGAAGTCTAATACCTGGAAGCCAATTGATAAAATGGTGTTGAAAATCCTTTATAGGCATTCTGAAATGCATAAGGGATTATGGTGTCATATTAACTTGTTATTATCATTACACATCATCCAGATTTATCTTAAAATTGTATTGTTTGACATATTAATATGTCTCTGCACATTTTCTCAGGAACAAACATTTGTATATGATGGAAGTTTTGCTGGAGATGTGAAAGCAGTGAGTATTAGAATTGTTTTAAATACGCTTTTAACTTAGTCTAGCATTCCATTCTAAACATTTGTTATAACATTTGCCAAAATTAATTTTTTAATAAATGTATCAACCAATATGAAAAAGTAGATGAATGTATAAATCATTAATTAAGCTGAGATAATGTTTATTCTTCATGGTATGCAGTCGATATAATATATCAACAAACTTTTATTTTACCAGTATTTGAATATTTTATCCAAACTAGAACCAGCTGTACAAGGACAGATGTGAACCACTTCTGCAGAAAGCATTGGAAGGATACAATGTCAGCATCATGGCTTTTGGTGCAGTAAGTAGACCTAAATATTTTATCTACATTATCATAATAAGAGAAGTATGAAATAATGCAAGTTAAAAATAATTTATTTTTATTAAAATTGATCATATTTTGTAGCTTAAAAGGAAAAAACTATTTTAAAAAAGAGCATCATGTTTACTAATTCACTGTAATATACAGATTAACTAATTTCCAACATGTAGAGATTATTTGGAAACAAAACAGAGATTTTATTTATGTCCAAAATGTACCTTCAAAGATTCACACCTAACAGCATGCTCACTTTGTTATGTTTTTATTTTAGACTGGTTCTGGGAAGTCCCACTTGATGTCAGGGACAGAGGATGACCCAGGGATTGTTCCTTGTGTAAGTTGCATGTACAAAAAGTAAATAAATAAATAAATAAATAAATAAATAGAGGCCCTATATAGAAATTGGAATTTGATAATTAAATGCATTTAATCCATATTGTTAAAAGTGCACTTTTGCATCAAAATTCTAAGACTCAAATAGGGAAGTTTGACGAAGTTAAACATTATTTATGGCGACAGCCTAACACTTACAAATTCGCTTGAAGTCTTCGATTCAATGCTACATGTTTTGGACAGGCTTCCTCAGCCTCGGATTCAGTGCTACATAATTTTTGCCAAGCCTGGGATTAAATGCTGCTTAATTAGATGTACTTTCTTAAGACAGCAGATCCAAAGCTGCATCTCCGACCATGGTCAGACACTTTCTAGTCTTGCCCAATCACAGACGGGCTTTTCTTTTAGGTTCACATCACAGTGCTTATATAAGTGAGTGCTACTACTCTGCCTCAGTCTACTTTTTTTATTTTTTGGATTTGGTTGTTACCTCCTGTTGGATTTTTGGTGAATTTTTCCGTCTGATTGACACATCGTTGTCTTTACCAGAAACGGACCTCTGACATCTACAAGTAAGTTTTTCCACTTCCATTAGAGTGGTGATTATTTGACCTTAAAATTACCATGGCTGTTCTCGTCATAGGTTACCCCTTTGTTCACAGGCTTGACCAAGGATGGGATGATCCTATGGCGAAAGACTTCAGATTTCCCAACTCCATACACTGGCACGTGATAGCCGGCTATATGGTCCCTAAACTGGCCAGATATGACTTGGGCATCCTTCGCCAGGTCCATTCAGACTTGGTAATACTTGTCATTGGGTCCAATGACCTCTCTGATCGGAATGTTTCCCCCTTTGGTCTAGCTAAGGACATCAAGGATCTTGCCCATAGTTTCCACGACGAATTTGGCATCACACATGTGGTGGTGAACCAAGTTTATCACAGGTTGCACTTACCCCATCCTACTTTTAATGACCAGGTTGACGAGCTGAACATTTTCCTTTCGGATTTGTCTCTTTCTACATTCATTTATTTGGTTTTGGAAAAACATAGATGTGCAGAATCCCACTCGGCTGCACATCAAGCCTGATGGGGTGCACCTTTCCGATGTGGGACAATACAAACTATACTGCAGTCTGTGTGGTGCCATCATCAGGACTCCCCCCCCCCCCCTTGCATTTTCCTTAACCAGATTCTAACCTTTTTAGGGCCAAGGTACAAATGACAACTGTGGTATTTTTTTTTTTTTTTTTAATTTACTGTTTTGGGTGATTTTCAGTTGAACCATAGTCTGTACAAGCATGTTGAAGAAAAAGCTGGGAAGAAAGAATTCTTTATCACAGTCACATTTGTTGAGGTAAGTCTCTATATTCTAGTGCTTTACCCCAACTGTAAAAATATATTTTAGCCGAATAAGTTCAAATGTCAATAGAGTAAACACAGAACACGGTGAGGTTTTTCTTAAGTTGAACTTCTTGTTTTTGGCCAAATTATTGACCAGAATTTGTTAACCATTTTCAGTAAAGATAGCAAATCATTTAATTCTTAATAGTGGTTGTTACAGTAACTGTATTAGTTTTTTAAATAATAAAGAATGGGAAAAAGTTAAATTGATAAATGCACCTCATTTCAGATTTTGGATGAACAAATGACAGACTTGTTAAATCCACATTCCAATGAGATGAGAGTCAGACAGCATCCACAACTTGGAATGTAAGTCATGTTCCATCAGCACAAAACATAATTAGTAACTTTTTTCTGATGTAGATATTAGGCAGTAAATATTTCTGTTACTGTGTACTATCTACATCAGAGATATTACACAGTATTTATTTCTGTTACTGAATTGATATCTTTCTCTAGCTAGTATAAGTGTTAAAATACAAGTTTTGTCCAGCCTGCTGATTTAAGAACTCTGAGTGTAACCAGTAATCTGAAAGCTGGTTAAATTTAAAGCAATAATAACTCTTCCTTTGAGATTCAAAATTCTGCATGAAATACATTTTAAACAACGCATGGAAATATATTCTATCGTATTTTACCACTAAAACGGCCGTTATTGGAGTAAAACTAAAATCTGTGCTTGTCAATGGGGCTTTCGATGCCATTTTTCCCAGTCATCAAGGCATTCGTTGCTAATGACGTAATGGTGTCACGCGGATTCTAGCGTTCATTCGAGACCAAAATAACATGGCGCCAAACACATTAATGCGGACGCAGACGTAAGTTGCGAGTTTTTGTACAGTGCGTCGGATAACGAAAAGCCCAGAATGGCACACATTGTGGATATAAATGCATTTTTAACAAAAAGACGAATATATCTCATGAATCTTATATAGTGTTGTTGTTGTCTGCTTTTCCCGCGGTTTTAAGTAGGTCACCAGTGACTTTGCAATGTCAGAGAGAGCTCCGTCAGTTAAAATCTCTTAAGAGATTTTAACAAAAAACCGTACGTTTAGGAAAAAAACCCTGGATTAACTTTGAATGCAGGAATGGGGTCGTTGACCATTGGTAAGTACGGGAAAATTGCCGTTTTTCCAGGAAAATCCAATTTTTGGCCAAAACGAAGAGTTATTATGACTTTAAGTGTTCTTTTTTCAATTACCAGATAATCCTAATGTTTTTATTTATCTGAACATTGATTGCCTCGTTTAGCCAGTTTCATTTTAAAACATCATTGTTTCTGCATTAACCAGCTATGTTGATGGGCTGTCAGAGCTAGTAGCAAATGATGGAGAAACTCTGGCCAAGCTGTATGAACAGGGCAGTAGAGCTCGGAAAATGGGAGCTACTGATGTCAGGGCACACAGGGCAAGGTAAAAAAAATATTATCTCTCTCCTTTATGTTATACGCGGTTCTCTCTTTTATGTGATACCAGTCCCCCCCCCCCCAAGTCTCTGAGATAAATTGTTGAAAGACCACTGAGTTGACTAACTAATACTAATAAAGGCTCATTCTAAATATCTTAATAGCCAAACAGTTTAGTTACCTCATCTCACCTGTGAAAAAAAGGTTTTGAATATTGCATTATTTTTCACAAGCTGCAACTGATACAATGCTTTTTAAGTATTTTGTTATCTACACTTTCTGCCATGCTACATAGAACAGGAAGAAAAACGTGTTGTTCTTGCTATGTAACATGTTGTTATGCTTCTGTTTACTCTCCCTACAGGTCTCACTCAATCTTCACAATCCATGTAGATCAGAAGGAGTCCAACTCCAGCAAGGTTGGCCTGAAGTCTACTATACAGATGGTTGACCTGGCAGGTAAAGACAGAGACAATACATTATTGATCACTTGTAACAACAGTTTTGGCATACAAAATAATTAAATTTTTATCATGAAAAAAATATTTGGCAGTTTGTAGAAATAGTGGTGCAATTATTCATACAGGTAGTCCAGGTAATTATCACTTGATTTGATGCAGTTTCTTATAATGCTTTTTATAGTGTAAAATAAGACCAGTAGAATAAAAAAAGAACAATATAAAACACTGTTATTTTATCTGTGCATTATATTTATTCACAAAACATGAGTGATGGTTGTATTTATACAATCATGTAGTAATTAATACTGGGGTAGCTCTAGCAATTTTTTTCGCTTAGCCAAATCACCACATTTTTGTCAATTTGTTACCAAAATGGTTATAATTTGGCTAAAACATGTCAAATCAAGCCCTTTTTCTTTAGCCAATTTAAGTCAGTTTTAGCATTTGGCTAAATTGGCAAGTGTTAGCGCTACCCCAGTAATGTGTAGTATATGAAATAATGTAATTCTTTTCAGTAATGGCATAATAGGCACACAAGTACTTTCTTACTGACACATCCACAGAATTAAGTGTTTCACTGTAGGATATTTACTAAAGTTTGAAAATGATTTTGATTTATAATTCCTCCAGGTCCATCTGATCCACATTATGGTAGGTTGTGGTAATTACTCACAAATGTTAAATACCTAGCTTATACCAAATTTTTTTTTCTTTTGTTTTTTAAATTTGATTTTATTTACTTTATCATTGTTATTTTTATCTATTATTTACATGTCAGAAATGTCTTTTTAGGTATACAGAACAGAATGTTGTTCTGGAATTTTTTTGCTATTTAATTATTATAATTTGCATTATTTTTTTTATTAAGTGAGTAATTACCATTTATCAAAAGGCTATGATCAAAATGTTGAATATCCATTGATATTGTCCTTTACCTTTTTCTTCATATTTTGCACCAGTGCTGTTGCAACAGCTTTTTCCTCATTTTTGCACCATTTCGATGCTGTACAGAAAATAAGGGTTCTTTTCCTGGCCATGTTTATGTATACATTTTAAGTCTTGATTTATATATCATTAAGTATAACATATTGATGTGCAACTTCAATTTCAGACAGCTAAGTAATATTCCCTAATGATTACTTGCTGTTTTTCTGTCTATTTATATGTGTAGCACAAAGTGAACTCTGACTATGTAATAGACTAGTAGGTACTTGTATTTGGTTGCTGTCTAAAATCGGCTTTTTCGTTTGTGTGTCATCTTTCCTAGCCAATGATCTGTGTTCGGAACATAAAACAGGTCTTTTGTTTTCTTAATATTAATTTAAATGTAACCTCTTAAATACCAATAATCTTTCCAAAGTGTTTACCTAATCTAAGTAGTTTTCCAACTTCACCACGTTATTAGAATTCATCACTCATGACTATGTTATTAATTATTTATAATATATATTTAATGAAATATAGGTTTATAGATTTTATAATCTAGCTAGACTATATATATTTTTGATGAGTAGTTGAAGGTCTTTAAATCAGATAGCTAACTGCAACTCGTGTTTATTGGACACTAACAGACTTATTTGAATGTCATCTACAAATATTCACAGTATAATTAGCTTTTGGATAAAATTTCAAAAGCTTTTGGTGACCGTGATCTGTAGCTGCCTCTTGTGCTTCCAGGTAAAAGTTTGAAGTGTCCATGGTTATATTTCAGGATCTGAGGGTGTGGACAGTAACAGCAGTCTGCAGGCTGTGGCAAGGGTCATTGCAGCCCTGGGAGATTCCAAGAAGAAAGGTGGCCACGTTCCATACAGAGACTCCAGAATAACAAGGCTTCTACAGGTAAATATTTCACTGTAAAAAGATTGCACCCATGAAGGTTAGATTTATAAATAGCTTTTTGATCTCAGAGTCTGAACATCCTTTGAAGGAATACCCCCCACCATTAATGCTGTATAAAATTCCTTTGCATTTTAAATTCAAGAAGTTAACAGTCTGTCCATCCTGGCAACAGAAAAACAGACCAGTAAATGCTCTTGATCACATTAACCTATTTCTAGTGCATGTACTCGAGATCTTAAAGAAAGATAATATGGATGCTCAAACTGGAATAACATTATGTTTCAGGAAGCCTTTGGTGGGAATGCTTTCAGCCTGATGTTTGCCTGCATTTCTCCAGCAGGTAAGTTGCTGTTGTCACATGTCTATAATGATGATACTTATTTGCAACTAAAATGCACTAGTTTTATTTGAAGCAAAAGAAAGAGGTGGTAAATTCAACAAACTGATATCTTGACTTGGATTAGTTATATATGTAAGCAAAATGTGATTTTGTAACTGTGAAAATTTTGATGTAGTTTTTACAGTTAGTTAATGGTATTTTTATCACATTTTATTTTGGATATCTCTTGTTTTCAGATCTGTTCTCACAGGAGACTATGGTAACTCTGCAGTATGCTACTCTTGCTAGGAATATAAAGAACGAGGCCAGAGTTAATTTGGTAAGCGGTGTTTTGGTTGTAGTTTCCTACCATTCATGGTATATATCCTACTTTCGTACAATTTTATCTGCCAGATAAGATTCATAGCAACTTCTCCCCTTATTCATATATAAAAATTAATATAAATATCAAATCATTTTTACTTTGGATTTTATCTCTTAGCTCTTTTATTTCAAAGGAAGTAAAAGCTTTTTGAACAATTATTATCCAAGTGCAGTAAGGCATTTTAATTTGTTTTTCAAACATAATTCTTTATTTGTTTATTGTATCACTGTTACTTTGTATATTTATCAAACTTTGCTCTAAAAGAAAATGGTTTCCGATTTTTATAATTGGTTGAATGAATTCTTATCTTATCTTGCTCAGGATGAGACCACACACATCATCGCTGACCTCAGAGAAGAAATTGCACGTCTCAGAGACAAGCTGACAACAAACAGTAAGAAGGAGGATGTCATGAAGATGGAGGTATGACGATGAACAAAACACCTCCTTATGGTGTCCATGTTTCTTGTGTTAATTGATTGAAGATGTAGGTATGGTTTGATCAAATTGATGTAATTTGAAAAACAATTTCTTACTATCCTTATTATAATAATTTGTATTTTCTGCATTCAGGATTTAATCCATGACTTGCAAATTGCCAAGAGGCAGACCTGGGAAGAGAAGCAAAGGTTGTCCATTCAGTATGAGGAGGAAAGAAAAACAAACTTGGCTAATAAGGTATACATGGAAAACAAATCTTGTAACTGTTATGCCAAATCAGCTACAAATGAAAGTGTGAATTGATTTCAATTGTATGGCAGTTGATGGCATAGATTTTCACACAGTTATACTGTGTTAAAATTCTGTGACATAATTTTAAGCATCGGTACCAATAACCAATTTAGAATCTTGGAGAAATGAGACAGAAATGAATGAATGAATAAATAGCTTTTATCAAGGAAAGGGGCCATGTGACTAAATTCTCATAATCATTTAAATCTTTCAACTCTCTTTATTTTGTGTGTATCAACATTCTAGGGAATACTGGAGTGGGTGATGGACAGCATGCGAAAGGGAGACAAGGAGATGCAGGAAAAGCTTCTGCTACTTCAAAAAGAAAAAGATCAGGTATATGTCCTCACCCATTTATCAGTGTACTTTATAAATTATTGTCTTCAAAAAATGTTTAAGTAGAATTGAGATGCAAATTTCTTTGATAGAGTATAATAAATATATTGCTCTGCTAGGTAGACTATTGATAAAGTTGTTTTTTTTTTTTAATCTGACACATGTATTATATATTTTTGGATTTATGCTAAGTACATGTTAGTTATTGATATAGGTGAATTGGATCTAAGAGTATCAGTGTATAAAGTGTATGTATTGTATATTTTAATGTTGATCTTTCTGTTTTGCTTGAACACAGTTAATGCTTCAATACAAAGAAAAGAGAAAGGCTGTGGATGGAATGAAAGAAGACCTGCAGAAAAAGATTGCTGAATACTCCAAGATGGCTGACAGTGGTAAGGCTTGGAATGGGAGTTTCTGGGTTTTAAAGTGTCACGTAATTTCATGTGCTAGGAAGTAATGTTGTGCAAAGGTGTGTTAAAATGTTGATTTTCCCTTGTTAAGTAGCATCATTATTATTCCGTGTGGTTTGAGGTACCATTTTAATTCTAATTTTTAAAAACTTTACAAGATACATTATGAACACGCTCAAAATATCATTTTTAAACCTAACATGTATCACTGTGAAAGTCGATTTTTTAGAAGCAATTGAAAGTTCAAAACTGCTCTTTTCTTAAAAAAGGTAAAGCCACAGATGCTAGCACCAAGGCTAAGGTGACAGCCATTCATGAATTGAAAGAGCTTTTGAAGAGTGAAAGTGAAAGGCTGAAGGAAATAAAACAACACTTGAAGGAGGTCACAGAGAAACAGAGGACAGAAAGAGAGGTAAAAAATATTGTGTGTATTTACAGAGAGGGAGATTGAAAATTTAATAAAAGGAGAATCGAATGACTACCAAAAGAGTTAGAATTAGCCAGTGTTAATTTATCTTTATTTGATGCTTTGAAGGTCGCTGATTCAAATATAACTGTAGATCTGTTAAATTTTAACTTTCTGTAACATATTTAGTTATTACTTTTATATCTGCCTTCAGGATGCCAGATCCCAGAACATGATGCTGAGGGGCAATGCTGAGCTGAGACAGGCTGTGGAGGTGGGTCACATACTTATGGATATAGCACATGATATTGATGGAAATTATTCTGGTTTAAGTTTAACGTTAAAGTTTTTATGTGCCATCTGAACACGTATAAGGTTTAATAACTGATTTATAGACATTGTATTATCATTTATCATCAATGTTTGTTCTTAAATATACTAAACAATCACTTCTTGTTAAGTTTTGCTATGATTTGTGTCTCTCTTGTAGATTGAGGAGCGAAAGAAGATCGAGATGGAGAATGCTATCATGGTGGAAGATGAGATGGAGAGGGTCGGGAGAGAGGTGGATTTTCTCAGAATGGAAATCCAGGTAAATGTGATTCTTTTTTTGACAGAGAGATAAAGCATATACACATTGTCTTTGTTGGCCATTTAATTGAGCAGTAATAAGTACTAAATTTCGCTATCATTTCTCTTGTGTATGTGCTTTAAAATTCTCTTTTTATGCTTGCTTTGATTGATAAAACTTTAAGTTAATTATTATTCAGTGTCTGAATTATTCACTTGTGGCTGCTATTGAAAAGATGGACATTAAGTCACAGTATTGCTCTCTTACAGCAAACAATATAATTTGTGATCTATTTTAAATCATCTCAAGGCAAAATGCTGAATGACACATTGAATTGCTTTGTATTTGCAGAAATAACTTTGTCTTTGATATGGTTCATTTTTTTTTTTGTGCACATGTTGTGTTAAGTATATCAATCTAATGTGATGTTTACAGAACAAGGTGGAGCAAGGCAAGCAGTACAGTTCAGAGGAAGGCAGCAAGCTGGAGATTGAGGTTGCAGAGCTGAAGGCTGAGAGACAAGTGATTGCACTTCAGGTAATTTTTATTCATTATTTATTTATTATTTTATTTTTTTATTTTAATTTTGATTAATTATTTTGCTGAAAGAGGTATTATGACAGAGCATATCTGGTATTATGCTGATGTTTGTTAAATGATTCCATGGTTCAGTATATCCACAATTTAATATTTTGACTGTGATATTAAGTTAGCCTAAGTGTATCAAAATGGAAAGTTTTCTTAACTGTTTGACTGGGTATTTTTTTTTCAGCAACAAGTGCTTGAACAGGAGAAAGCTCGTCTTCAGAGGACCCTGGACGATGCATATAAGCATCACAAAGAGGAGACTGAAATACTGCAGCTGCAAAATTTCCAGGTGATAATTTTATGAAAAGAACCACTTAAATTCAAGATTTAGGGACAGTTACTGTACTTACTCAACTAACATGAAAATATAGATATCAGTAGATACCCAAAATTTGTCTTACCAATGTTAAATCTTCAGGCAAAAATGTAATCAACTATCAATCTGATCTGTGCCAAATAAGCTACAAAAAAGTTAATGTGATTTGATTCCAAGCAAAAATTTTTAATCTAAGATGGTAGTTGATAAAATGAATTATCACAGTATTACTTTTGAGTTAAAACTTTTGAGTTAAAATTCTGTCATGGAAAAATTAATATTTACTTTTGTTTCAGCCCTAACATTTTTATGATGCAGCCCTACAATGATGTCAATGTACTAAGTAAAGTGTGTGCCCTGTGTCGTCTCATAATTAATCCTTGCATTTCCATATTTCTAGACATTCCGTAACTATCGTGAGGTGTTTGAGCAGCAGAAGTCTGCCCTGGAGCAGAGATATAGAGGACTGCTTGAAGATGCAGTACAGGATGCCGTCTTCATGTCTTCCAGGAATGCCGAGATGGTGGAGGAAAACCAGTCCCTTAGACAAGGTGAGAGCTGGAATTTCTCAAAGGGATGTCTTACTGTCTTGGGGAGATATGTGACCCTGCTAGGTAGATGATGATGATTTTCAAATTATTCCCATATTTTCATGATCCAATGAAGATTATTACCAGATCAGTAAGCAGTCTGAAGTCAAATATTCGTGGTAATTATTTCAGGACAAATTTTCTGATTTTATTCATACCATTGATGAAATGTTTAACAAAAGCAATATTTTGGTAGCACTAAACTTCGCTACACCACACCAAATTAGGTTTCTGAATGGTTAAAATATCATATTGTACAAAATTAAAAGTGGGACAAGGAAATGTTATTAATAATGTCCTATCAATACATCAGGTAAGATTAGAAGTATTACAGATGGTTTCTTTCTTTTCCAGAAATTGCAGAACTAAAAGACAGGTTGACGGTGCTGGAGGGACAGGCTGCAGCCAACTAACCCTGGAGACTTAGTTCTTATAAAACATAAACTTTGACATCCAATGTGACGTCATTTTAACTTAAGAGGAATTACAATAGGTGTTGTTGCAATCAGTCTAAAAGGGAATGTATCTATTTCAGCATATTTTACAAACTCAGTTAAATTAAAAATTTGACATAGTATGATACATGCTTATGACTATATAAATTTCTTATTTAAATGTCAATTAATAACCGTCCATTATAGACATCATATTGTGATTTAAAGCAAAGTTGTATATACATATATGGCAAGGCAGAGGAATTGAATTTGTAAAACCTGGAATCTTGAGAAACAGAGGTATGCAGGTTTCAGATGTCTCTTATAATGCAGTAAAATCCGTCCTTTTTAGACAGTTGTATCTCTAGTTTATTTTTCTGATGCAGTAATTTACCCTGCACATAAAAATGTTAACGTTCCATTATTACAATATATAAGTTACATGACTGTACAATCTCAGAGAGCTTTACATTTAGTCAAATATTCAAACTTGCATAGTTTTTTATGCAGATACATGCTTTACAGATATTCATCTTTTATGGTTAAACTTATATTATTTAATCTAGATGTATACTAGAAGACATTGGGATTTTATTTTAGTTTAGACCAGTTTTTACTGAATTTGCCATTTTGATTAAGTCTGATCTGACAAGTCATTTCTGATTAATGTTGTTATTCAAATGTAGGCAAATTAATGGTAGAATAGGAATGATGATAATATCAATTAATCAAGATACATGCTGCAGTGTTATAAATCTATGCTTTTTTAATTTCCACTTCCATGGTTTTCATGCTGGTTCATGAAAGGCCAGATAACCTTCTGTTAATAAATTTTGTTCATAATATTGTTCATGGTTTTCTTTGAGATTTTAAGCATTTTAATTCGCTTATTTCAGACATGACTGTATATTAATTTAAATGTTTCTTAGCTGCTTCAGTCTCGTAACTTTGAAATATCATGACTAACTTGAAATATATGAAGTAATTTGCAGACAAAATACCCATGGTTTACAAACATATGCCATAGTTTATTTCAAATCTTCAGCTGTGAAGTTTCACAAGCTAGATTTAAGAAATATAAGTCAGTTTGCTTGTTTTTAAAAACTCTTGGTGGAGCTAGTCAAGCAAAAAATCTAAAAATAAGTCATTATTTACAGCTTTTAAACATATAATGTAGAAGGACAGAATGTACTTGCAAATTATATCTTCCCATTTTCTTTCCAAAATCATACAAATAACAACTTCAAAGTCTCAATATTAGAGTAAGGCTGTACAATAGACGTATATTAGTGATAAATATTAATTTTGGATCCATGGTATATAAAAGACCTTAAAATCCTCACTCCACATACTGTGTTTGTTCTCATATAACAGTCAAGTACACATATTCTGAATTTTTTCACATTGTAATCTTTGGGTTAAGAATCTGTCCCCACTCATTTAGAAATTTTCCAGGAATGTTAATGCTTGAACACCGTGTTACACTTTCATATTTCTTTTTCTAATAATTCTCATGGCAAGTTTTAGTATCTCTTTTTCCTTAAAATGTCTGGTTTCCAATTTATTGGATGGGTTTCTTCAGTCTGAAAAAGAACAATGCTCAAGTAAATATCTATTCTCAAACAATTTGTACCTGCTTTGAAAAACTTATCCTAACTAATGAACAGATCAAAATAATTATTTTTACTTGACATTTAAATCGTCTTTACACCTTATCACTTAATTGTTCTCTTAGCATTTTTCCCTTTAAAGGCTGTAAAAGGTAATACATACTGCAGTATCATCTTCCTTATAAATCTTTATGGTTTTATCAGCCTCCGCAGAGATGAGTCTGGTTCCACTGTTATCAAACTGCAGGGCAAATATCCCCGCCTCAGAGTCTATAGAACCTGGCTGTGCCATGGCCTGCATACGCTGAAAGTTGTAGCCTGATCTCCAGTCCCAGAAATACATAGTACCATTGTCCCCTAAAACAGGCAGCAAACAGATCATAATAATAAAGAACTATAGGCCACTTTATAAGAAAAAAAAATCTAGGAATATCAATGCTGTATTTGAATTCATTTCATTTATTGTATTTAATTTTTATTTTTATATCATGTGGTCAGACATACTTGTAACTTAAAAAGAAAAATATTTGGCTCATGCCATTTTTTATGCCATCATTTAATGAGGCAGTAAGTTCTGTAATTCAAATCAGCATTACCAATTGCGTTTGACCGGACAAACAGAAGAGAAAGACTTCAGCACTCGCTCCCACAGTCACAAAAAACTTGCCAACATTTCTCACCAGAAATTTATCTATAACATGCTTTCAGGAAAGTCTATATGGCTCACCGAAAATAGAAATTCACCCCGAGTAAACTGCAAACAAGAAAACTCACCTCCAGAGACTAGTACATTATCTGAGTTAGCTGCCAGACTGTTGATGATAGCATTATGACCTGACATATTCTGGATAAAGTTGCCATCAGGAAACTTCCATTGCTTCAGGTTATCTGGTGATGCTGAAGCAAAGGTATACCTGAAAGTAGAGCAGCAAATTACAATACTTTACTTTGTTTATTGCATGGATAAAATACAGAAAGCTTTGTTCCATTTTGTAGTTAAATTTGACATCTTATTTGTTTAATGTAAATAAAGAATACACAAAAAATGTAATATGTAATGTAAAGTCATATTATTTTTCAATGTGTTTAAACAATGTGCAAATGACGTGCTGTTCAAGTGCTTTATGCCCAGTCTCCATAATAGGTGGCTTATTCCAGACCGTAGTCATCACATATTAAAAAAAGAACTCACTGTACTGGATGAAGTGCTAAAGCTCTGACACTCTTTTTATGGTTGGTTAATGTAGCTTTTGATTTCCCAGCAGCCAGATCCCATAACCTAATTGTGCTATCATGACTGCAGGATATCACCTGAAAGTAAGAATCGAAATTATTGTAACCACAGGAAAAAAATCAAGTTTTACTAAAAATAAATAAATAAAAACAGATTTCTAAATGCCTTATAATATTAAAAAAATAATCAAATCTGTTCTGTAAAGCCTTAATATCAATGACCAAGAACTAGGTGGACTGACCTGTGGTTCTGCGGACTGACACTTGACGTCTGCTACTGTGTTGGTGTGACCAGTCAGTGTGTATATACAGGCTTTTGTTCTCATGTCCCAAACCTGAAAATAGATGGCAGTGCAATCAAGTCCTAATTTTCATGGTGTCTCAAGATCAGTGTGAAAATGCTAATAATTTAAGGTGGAGTAAAGTTCTGCTGCTTCACTGACAAGCAAAGAAAACAATTCACCTTTCTACATTTGAAACGTAATTCAATTTTATTTTCCTTTTAATATGACAACAAATCCTTTTAATGGGGAAAAATCCCAAATGCTGCTTCCCTTCCAAAGAGGGAATAGCATATTAACAAAATATTTATAAGGGAAGATGAAGTAACTGAATAAGAATAATTTTAAATTCTTAAAACATATTTTCACAATTGATAATATATTAATATCTCACTATTCATTTTCCCTTCCTCATGCAATCCATTTATCTGAAATCAAAATATCAAGTGTTAACCACATTTTTTCTCTCTTCCCTGCTAAAGATGACATTAGTTTTAAATTATTTTATTCTGCATACTTACCCTAACTGTGGCATCCCTCCCACAGGTACACAGTATATCAATGGTAGGATGGAGGTCAATAGCATGAACTGCACTCAAATGACCATGGTAATGGCGAATCACCTGAACAGAAACACAAATTAAACTGATTACAATTGGGATTTATTTTCGAAAAAGATTTTTATTGCATTTGACGATTTTTTTCATCAATCCGTTTACATTCTGCATCAAATTCAAGCACATCATTTATCAATAAATTATATGTATTTAATAAAGTAAATTAAAGTAAATACATTATTAGTGTAAAAACACCTGAATATTCTGTCAATGTCAACTCATTATTTCACTCACTTTGTTGTATTCTAAATCCCAGCACTTGACCTGCTTGTCCTCTGCACAAGAAAACAAATATGGCTGTCGTGGACTGACCACTATCCCCCGGACAGTGCTGATGTGTCCAGTGAGGGACAGTTTGAGAGTTCCACTGGCCAGGTCCCAGATTTTGATCATTCTATCTGCTGATCCTGTGGCAAACCACTCATTTCCCGGCTCCACAGCAATACTGCGTACCCAGCCATGATGACCGCTGATTACCTGAAAATAGCATAAAATATAAGATTATTTGCAAACAGGGGATTTTCCCTTCTTTTACATAGCTACATAATGTACTTTAGGCTATCAATCACCAGATAATTGCTTACAAATGAAGGGATTCAACAAAATGTCTAACTCAAGGTCTTTTGTACTCTACCTGAAAAAAAAAATTCATCTTAATGAGTGTGTCAATAACCTTTTAAAATTGCGCTTGAGGAAACATCAAGTGATAACTTTAAAATTCCTTATTTCAGTAACAATCTATTACAAAATATAAAAACAGCAACTAAATAATATATTACTATATATAAATAGTGGGCATAAGAATACTTACCCTATACAATTTCCATGGTGGATGCCAAGTTGGCTTTGGCATTGTGGGAGCTTTTGTTGGTACCAACATTTTATCATTCTTTCCTTGCCCAGATACTGCTACCAGTGCCTAAAATAATGCAGATTCCCATAACATTTCTACACTGACTATTTTTGTTTAGGTAAAAATGAAATGGAAAAGCAAAATGTCTATGGTACTGTACTATCAACAGAATTATCACAATGTCTACTGGTGAAATGTACCCTTTTTCCACTCCTTTAAACCAGCATTTCAACAATGAATCACATTTTGTCATATAAAATTCTTGGAAAAAGAGAGGTCAAAACTGACAGGATTTTATTTAGAACATCACATTTTTCTACACTCAAAATTATATTATTTTTAAATTAGCATTTTATGACAGTTCTGATGGTCACCTTGGACCTAGAATAAGGCATTGTGTCACACTGAGGGTAACTCACCTTGGAAGGAGGTGCATATCTCTCCTGCATCCCTGCATGCTGCTGTATCTCATGTACGCCTGCTGACACATTGTCTTCTTGACTGGATATGATATTAAAACAACAAAACAAAGTTTAGATTTCTTATTCACATGAAGTTTCAAATAGTAAGACTCTAGTTAAGCCTTAATTCATTTCCTCTTCTGCTCTCAATTTTCGCTTACATATTCTAGTATACAAACCTTTTTTTTCACAGTTTTATTTGTAATAAAACAAATTTTTAAAACCAGACACAGGAGCAACAAAATTCTTTTCAGGTAAAAAACTGTACTTAAAAATATCCTTGCCAGGCTTAATCGAAACAACAGAAAAAAACATCCTTACCCATACATGGATGAAGGCAAAGCTTTCTGTGACGGATGAGACTGCATTGCTGTGTTCTCAGTCAAATGGACACCTGAAAAATACACAACAAATAATTTTTTTTCAGTATCCTAATACTGTAACACTGGCAGTAGATACTATCAAATCTCACAGAACAATGGTCAATTTCAAAATGAATTACACTTATGAGATGCAGTATTTTCCCATATTTTTTAAACAAGGCACTAATACAGCACCGAGGCAAATAACAAAATCAATGAAAAATTTAATCAAAAACAACACTGTTACTCCGTAACTTCAGATTTGATAGAAAATAATATATGTAAATATCAGCTGTGGCTATCTCCATTTTACCTGGTCCAGAAGGATAGTTATGAGTTCCCATAGCTTGTCCATGCTGGTAGTCAATAGATATTATAGCCTGGCTGTTGTAAGGTCCTACTACATCATCATCTGCTCGACTCTTCTTCTCAGTTGCTAGGTGCTTTACATTACCATACTCATCATTCAGCTTGCATGCCATCCTTAACTTTTCGCTGAGATGGACATAAACTAGTTATGGCAATATCAAATTCATGAACTGTAACTATTAAAGCCTAGTAAAGCCATTTGTTTTCATAAGTTATTCTATGGTAAATCTGACGGAAATTGCTCATTTTCAGTATTGTAATACATGAGACGTAAAGTGCAATTTGTTTATTATCGACCACACTCAAAAGTAGTTCTGCAAAACTCTTAAAAAAACACCAACTTACTCATAGTTTTTGTTACAGGTGTTACTTTTATGCATTTTACTATTTTTTCCTGTTGTTGTGTACTTGTTTTAAAGTTGAGTACCAGCATTACAAGAAAAGCAAAATTAAATGAGCATCACTGTCTTCAAACTGCTAAAAAAAAGTTGAGAAGTTTCAGCAAGTGGTCCCACATAATGACATGGCTTCCAGTACTTACCCCTTATCATCTTGTAAAGGTATATGTGCATGATCTGACAAAAACATATCATGTGTCCTTTTCAATGAGCGAAAGACAAGTGTATGCACTGAATGCTTCTGTACCTCCTGAAAGTACAAATGTTAAGTTTAAAAGTGAAAAAATAAAACTAAGCTAGGTATTTAATATTACTGTATCAACTTTTACAAAGAAGTCAAAGAATTTAAAATTGTGCTCTTTCTTTCTATCAATTATGCTTAGTTACTACTTAGTAAAAACAAGGAGTTATAACAGAAGGAGATTACACGCAAGCCTCTCTATTGTCCGATGTCTGTTACGGTGGGCGGAGCTAGCTACGGGGGGCCTCCTGTCTCAAGGTTTCGTCTGGGTCGCTCTCCTCCGCTCGGAGATTGATTTTATATGCGTTATTTCGCGTTAGAATTCGAAATCAGTAGTGTCAAAGCGGCGCTGTATGCTGACGATTTTTTTCACAGGTAGTTATTTGGACGATGTGCTGGGAGGGAACGATATCATAGAAAGCGATTTTAAGGTGGTGACTGAGGATGGTCGCCATGAGTTTTTTTGAGTCGGTGATAGATGGCTTTTCTTTTGCACAACACAGTGAAAAATCACCAAGGATAAGTCAAAAGANTTTTTTTTCGAAATATTAACAAGATGGCGGCTTAAGCATCTGCTTGTTATTCGGCTACTGAAAGTGCACCTAAGTTTTATTCTTTGCTATTGCCACAAATTACTTAACAATTGCAACTGTATAAAGACCAAACTTTCTTCATCTGATACTATATTTATAGGCACTTGTTATGAGTGGGAAATATTTTTCGTGCAATATTTATTCTTCACACACCACCTCGCGAGATCAACGTGTAGCTGGACACTTACACAGTGAGACCCTACGACATAAAAGTTGCAATTTATCTTCATATTTCGTGTAGTTATGCATTTAAAAGCACTTACCTGTTTTTTGAAAACCTTGTCCAACGTAATATCATATAAATTCTGTATTTCTCTCATTTTTTAGAAACTTGGGACTCCGTTTCTGTGTCTGTCCTCAAAATTCAACAGACGAATGCACAGATACTAACAAACGAGATTTAAACGAGAGTAGCAATTAAGCGTAACAGAGATAGGCATCTATTGTTCTCTGGGTTCTATTCATTCCGACCAATGAGAGACCGTAATACGGGCTCCGCCCCCACGCGTGTAATCTCCTTCTGTTATAACTCCTTGGTAAAAACAAAACTAAATTATAACTATAATCATTAGTTCAACATTGTGACTGAAAGTGCCAGTTGTAGATTAAATGGATATTTCTGAATGTCAGCTGGACTGACTGGACAATCTGATTAGTTTCGTCTCATCCTCTCTTTCTTTGAAAGTTACCCAAGACCAGAGACAGAGAAGTCGTTACTTTTTCAGGACATTATCTTGACATCCATTCAGTTAAATGTTCAATATAGTCTACGGTTGATAAATACTTCACCTCCATATCTTTGGTTTTTAAGGATCCTTGATGTCCTCGTAAAAGTATCGGGCAAGCGGACTACTGGGTATAATTCACTAAGTTTGCAAATAAACGTCTTCAGTTCGTACCACCATCCACCATGCTTGTTTACAGTCTCGTGAACTCTCGTGACCCAATTAACAAACCTAGAAAAGGAAACAGACTTTTATTAGTTTAAACATTTTATCGTGGCAACTTGAAGTCATATAACAATTTGCGATCTCCTTGTGAACTAAACATCACAAATTAACAGAATACTAATTATTTCTACTTCATTTTGCCTACAACTTGCTTCAAAAAGGAAACAGAGGGTGAAGCGCACCTGCAATCTGCGCAGCCGGAACCGGCTTCTCTTGTGTATACGATCGTCTCTTCCAGTCTTCTTTTGTGCAACATATTTCGCTGGAGCTTAAAGTCTTGTAGATAAAATGGCACTCAGCAACAAACTCAGTATTGATGCTCTGGATTTGGGTGGAAAGCGTGTGTTGATAAGGTAGACTGACAATGTTCTGACCGCAGACAAATCTTGTATATATTTTGTTTTGATTGATGATACTTAATTGTAGTAAGGTCACCCTAACCTTAGTCGTTAAATGGTAAAATGAGAGACTTGTTCATTACTTTCAAAGACCAGTTTTGAGCCTCTATGTTATATGCAAAGATAGCGTTACTTTCTGATGAATTTCATATCTTGTCAGACTTGTTTTCATTGTAGCAAAAGCTGATTTTGAGCAAAATGAGGATTGACCTTGATAACGACCTTGTCTTATTCACCCCGTTTCATGAAAGTGACCGTGCCAATCTCACGTCTAAGGAACTGAATAATGTGTGCCTGCCTTATTACATTGTTGAAAAACATATGTTAGATTTAAGGGGCGATGTTTGAATGCCTTTAGAGAGATTAACAGAATGATTGAAAATGACATATACCACAGGCAGCTTGAGCTGAATTGATTTATTGATGGCATTTTATTAGATTATACACAGGTGACATTATTTTACATTAAATCATATAGATGTTAACAAATACGCCATACTATATAGTTTAACATCAAACTGTTGAAATCCTCACTGACATGTTTGTATAATATTTCTAAAAAATACTCTATAGGTGTCATATTTTCTTTTATAGGGTTGATTTCAATGTGCCACTAAAAGGTAAAGAAATCACCAATAACCAGAGAATTGTGGAAGCACTCCCCACTATCAAGTATGCCCTGGAGAAAGGAGCTAAGTCTGTGGTGCTTATGAGTCATCTTGGAAGGCCAGATGGAAACAGGAATGATAAATTCTCTTTAGCTCCTGTGGCTGAGGAACTGAAGAAGTTGCTTGGAAGGTACTGTTTGGCTGTATGATATTAGTATCCAAAAGTTGACATGTTAGGATTTATTTGTAATTAAATATCCATGTCTGACTTGGTGTTTGGTGGAAAAACTTAGATATGCCAGGTGTATTGGACCCATTATCTTCTATTGAAATTATTTTTTCAGACATGACATCCAGTAAGTGAATAAAGCAAAGCAGTACATTTTTTTTCCATCTGTATGATTTTTAAGATAGCCTGTCCTGTTACAAAATAAAATTTCCTAGACTATGTCACTTGTTTAGACATGAGTTTCTGTCTTAACTATAGACAGAGTGAACCATCTGACATTAGCAATTCATCATACTAGGGTACCAATGTAACACAAACTGTATATACAAAATAGTGTAAATGAGCATATAGTAATTTTGTTTTATGTTTTTTTTTATTTATTTTATAATGAAGAACATATTTGCAAAATCTTACTATCTGATTGTTTAACCTTTCTGTGTTCTCTAGAGATGTGACATTCCTCTCTGACTGTGTGGGGGCTGAGGTGGAGGCAGCCTGTGCATCTCCAGCCCAGGGCTCAGTCATTCTTCTGGAGAATCTCAGGTTCCATGTGGAAGAGGAGGGAAAGGGAGTTGATGCAGAGGGCAAGAAGGCAGGGGCAATTGATTTTAATTTATGTAGAATATGTAGCTACAGTGTAAAACTGATATAAATATAAAGGAGTAAAATTATGCATCTTTAAAGCCAGGAGAATATGGATATTTTCAGTTGATAAATGTCTGTGCTTTCATGTAACTTTGACCTCTCTATTGTAATATACAGCGCCTTCATTTACAAAAGTATGTACAAGTGCAACTTACAGCATGTAAAGCAAAAGTTAAAAATACTTTGACTTCCAAGGTAATTAATATATTTTGCAAATTTAAGCAAAATTGTAATTGTTGTGGTGGAAAACCATGTCAATATTTGTCCAAGAGTTTTGAAACAATCCAGCAGAACTCCAGATTATATCTTTTGTCAAACTAAATTGGTCTTTCCTTAAGAAGAAGCATACTTTCAAATAAATTAACCATTGTTTATCTCATTGCAGGTAAAAGCCAGTGCTGATGCCGTTGAACAGTTCCGTGCATCTCTGAGTAAGCTGGGAGATGTGTATGTGAATGATGCCTTTGGTACAGCTCACAGGGCACACAGGTAGGCTATCTTTGTAGAATTACCCTGTGAGAGGAGATTGGGTGCCTTCCAAATCCACTGTAGCAGATTTTATGTGAAACAGATAGGTTAGGGTTTTAATCAGTCAGTCAGATCAGTCCGTTGAAACATGCACACAAGCATGCAAACACACACACAGAGAGAGAGAGAGAGAGAGAGACCATGATGGCACTTTTTTTCTGCAAAACATTTGGCAAATGGGCAAAAATTGTTTGATGTCATACAAGAGTAGAAAAATTGCAAGAAACTATGTGATGTGAGGTTGAATTCTAAGCATTAAGGATGAAACCTATTTGTAGGGAATGTCATTTTAAAAAGCAGAACAAAATGGATATGCAAGACATGGCGAATGTGTTATGTTGTGCAATAGACTGTAATTTGATAAAGTTTGGGAGAAAACGATAAAAAAAACCCTACTATTACATAAATTCTGTTTCTTTTATTTATTGCCACACTGTGCTCCCAAGCCTGCCATTATTTCTGAGTCTGACCCAACTATCCTCCAAATCTCAACTATCCTCCAAATCTCAACTATCCTCCATATCTCAACTATCCTCCGTATCTCATTTAATTTTGCGATGAGTTGCAAGGCTTTGTGTTATCTTAGATGGTCCCCATTATCTTTCTACGCCTTTCCTTCTTACGTTAAAACCAAAAATTCATACATATGTCTGTAGCACAAAAACTTATCTGCTGGCTAGAACAGAGAGACCGACAAAGAAAGATGTGGCACATATCTTAACTTTGATATTTTGTCCTTTTAGTTCCATGGTTGGTGTCCAACATGGCCAACGTGCTGCTGGGTTCTTGCTGAAGAAAGAGCTGACATATTTTGCCAAGGCCATGGAGAGTCCAGAGAGACCATATCTGGCCATATTGGGAGGGTAAGTAGCAGTCAGTAGTGTGTGTATGATACCTCTACAAGTCTTTTCTATATGGGGTGTCAAGAAATCCTTTTTTTTTTTTAAGACACATTTGGAGGATCTGAAGGTTATGCATTTAACTTTAACTTTTTGCTACCATCCTGAAATATTGATTTTAAATTGATATCAAAGATTTAGACTGTATCTCTGTTTACTTTTAGTTTTACAGTTTCTGTTTACTTTTGCAGTGCCAAAGTGAAAGATAAGATCCAGCTGATTGACAACTTGTTGGACAAAGTGAATGAGATGATCATAGGTGGTGGCATGGCCTATACTTTTCTCAAGGTTCTCAGTGGAATGAAGGTGAGTAACTTTAATTATACAAAGGAAAAAAGTTGTTGTTGGTGGTGTGTGTGTGCGTGGGGGGGGGGGGGGGGGGGGGATGGGGGTTAGCAGCGGGTGGTATTGGGTGGTTTTGTGTCCTATACTTTTCTCAAGGTGCTGAAGGGAATGAAGGTGAGAGGCTATAGCCTGGGACTTCACTATGATGAGAGGTTGGAAGATTGAGTGATTGAAGTCATAATTTGCTCCACCATGTCCTTAATCCTTAATTCCTCAGTTTAGGAGAAGAAACTATTATCCATATATATTGCATTGTGACTTTATACTTAATATCTGAAACGGGTGGGAATATGAATGAGATTATCATCATAAAAAAAACATCATTTAGCACTTTTGTGAAGGGCAGGATTGCTGTAAATACATAGGTGCAATTAATGTTTAATATAAAACTCAGTGTTTCACATGGTAGAAGATTATAGTAATCATTTTTTCTCAAAAATATTTGTAAAAACCAAGATATTCACTTTAACTAACATTTGTAAAATATCTTTTATTGTAGATTGGAAATTCCCTATATGATGAAGAGGGAGCTGGTATTGTGAGCAACCTGATGGCTAAGGCAGAGAAGAATGGTGTGAAAATGCACCTGCCATCAGATTTTGTTACTGCTGATAAATTTGCTGAAGATGCTCAAGTCGGATCAGCCACACTGTCAGAGGGGATACCTGACGGCTGGATGGTAGGTGTCACAACTAACACAATCAGTAACTCATCATCGTCACGCCTAACACAATCAGTAACTTATCATTAGTCACAACTAACACAATCAGTAACTTATCATTGTCACAACTAACACAATCAGTAACTTATCATCGTCACAACTAACACAATCAGTAACTTATGAGTCACAACTAAAATAATAAGTAGCTTATCATCGTCACAACTAACACAATCAGTAACTTAACATCATCACACCTAATACAATAAGTAACTAATCATCATCATCACAACTAACACAATCAGTAACTTATCATAGTCACAACTAACACAATTGCACAGCTGTTCTTTTAAGAAGTTCATTTACTAGAGTACTAGATGGACTGTGGGTAAATGTAGGTGTCACAAGGTGTGCACTGTCTGTGTCTTATTCCTGGCAACAATAGCACAAAGAGACACTGTTTAATGAAATAGCAGATGGATGAATCTGGTAAGTGGCACCTCAAACACACTGATGAAGCCTCTGTTTCATCTAACACAATTTATGCACCTCAAACACATGAAATCTCTGTCTTTGAACACAATGTATGCAACATCACAGAGGATTGCATAGCTTACGTTAAGTTTTGTGTTCACTTGGAATTATAAACATGTACTGAAGTCTTTTTTATATATAAAGTTGTTCTCCACATGGTGATAATTTTTCCTCTTTTTTACTTAGGGCCTTGACTGTGGTCCAAAGTCTTCTGAAGAATTTAGTGCTGCGGTTTCAAGAGCAAAAACCATTGTGTGGAACGGGTAAGGTCTATTATTAACATTTTGTGATTCATTTTAGAAACACCTAATAGGATTGCCTAAAGTGAGGTTATCATATAAGGGATATTATTTACTAATATGTTGTTACTTATAGAGAAAAAAAACAAAGGGTTTGATTGTGCAAAGTTAGTTGAAAAGGTATGGGTAAGCATTATTTCTTTCAAAGGTTAATTAAAACTGTGATGATACATATATTTGCTAATGTATTTAATGTGATAATCATGCTCAGGATTTTTTTAAAATTTAATTGTTAGTTGGCAGAATTTTTGACTTCATGAAAGGTTGGTTCTGAAAAGAATTTTGTGTTTCTAAAATGCATTTTGCACAGTATATTTCAATTGTAGCAAAAACACTATCATACTGTCTTGTAGCAACAATACAGTTGTGAGTAAAATGGGTCTTACTCTCTTTGTTTTATGTATGTGTACAACTTTTTCAGGCCTGTGGGTGTCTTTGAGTTTGAGAACTTTGCCAAAGGAACAAAGGCTGTGATGGACGCAGTGGTGAATGCAACAGAGAAAGGAGCTTCCACTATCATTGGTAAAGTCTCGATTTGATCTTTAAAAATATTGTAATATTCTTATATTTTTTGGATCAAGGTCAACTGAACTTGACATTTTTGTATTTAGATAACGTGTGTCTATCCATGTCATCACAGTCCACCACATTTGTCCATAACTGCCAGTTTGTTTCAATTTGTATCAAACAGGATGTTTTGTTTGGCAAAAAGGTTGAAAATTAGTATTTTCATGTATTCTGTGACATGTGCCCCATATGTGCCAAATCATATTTCATAGCAAGCTTCGTTTCCTGAAAAGGCAGGTTGGGTTAAACATCACCATAATTAGTAAAAACTCATTCCCATTATGTGCCTGTATACTTGCTGTCTACATAGGCTCTGACATGTGTGATCTCTAAAACAAATGCAAACTTACAGGTGGAGGTGACACAGCCACTTGCTGTGCAAAATGGGGCACTGAGAAGAAAGTAAGTCATGTGAGTACAGGAGGAGGAGCAAGCTTGGAGCTCTTGGAAGGTGAGATACCACATGTATATGTGGCATTTTTATGTCTGAAGTGCATTGATCTCAACTCATAATTTTCAGCATGAAATGGTAGACCAAAATTTACTCGATAAAAAGCAGTCAATTTCTTGTTTCATTAGCCATTTCATTAGTCTGTTTTCATCAGTTATTTAACTTAACATGATCTTGATATTGAAATGCCTAAGGAAAGCAGCTTGTACTGGTTTTGTGAAGTTTTTACTATTTTAGTCAGTTTAAAAATGGCTGAAATGTCAGTTCAGTCCATGCAATAGACAAAGTTTCAAAATGTTTCATTTAATTTCTAAAAGGCCAATCATCTATATTTCCAGGTAAAACTCTTCCTGGTGTTGCAGCTCTGTCTGACCTGGCATGACACAGAAAAGACTGAAGTAGAATACAATTCTACCAAGTTATCGCGCATTGTGTTTATCCTCTCAGAGAATAACAAGACTCTAACTTGAAGTAAACCATTTTTTTCTTGAGAAGCTGTTTTTTAATTTTAAAAAATGAGTAATGCAAATCCAACACAAATAATATCTAAGCATGATACCAAACAGTGCTTCCTAGATTTTGTTTTCAGTGTGTATAGACACTGATGTATTTTTTCTGCCCTAAACACTCCTTTTCAAGTTTTCTGTATTTAAACACCTTGTTGAAGTCGGAAGCGAAACCATAAAAACAAGGTGAAACTAGGCATGCTTGAAATTATGTTATTGATCAAATGATTGATGGAAGTCGAAGTTTGGTAGAGCTGATATGGTAGCCAATATTGCGTCACAAAATGGGCAGCTTTTCTCAACAGTCCCTTGTCTTTTCATATTGTGCACATTGTGAAGGTTAAAGCATGAGAGTCTGACATCTTCCAACAAAAAGTTGAGTCAGCACTCAAAGTTATTTCTGCCATAACTTCATGCATATCTTTTAGACTCTAGCACCACTAACTACAGAATTGAAGGTTAATACCAGTAGGTATTTAGACAGATTATTTGAGCTAACCCAGTTGTCTTGGATAAACCCATAATAAAAAAATACCATGCATTTGAAAGAAACCGATAACTCAGTTGTAGTCTTTCTTTCTGTATGTTCCTTATTTCAAAAAGAACTTTCTGTCATGCTTGGGTATTAGTATGCAAAGAACTGCCATTATCAGTCATCTCGGGAATAAAATATTATAACAGTTAGATGTTTGTAAAAACTTTTGTTTCTTGCGAATGCTTTTGTAATTTGAAAAAAAAAATGTCCTAAACATTCTGTGAGCATATTATTGTAGTTTCCCATTAGATGGTTTTTGAAAGATGGAATTTAATAACTAAGGGTCAAGGCTTGCATTTCCTTTATTTTGTTAGAATCTGTCATGGTGTGTCATGTATAATTCACTGGGTTATACAGAATTAACAAGGTGCTTTTTATGTTTCCGTTTTTTTATTTAGGTTTCTTTGTTTAACAAAGGTAGATTTTACTGAAATGTGTATTTTTGATGTGTGTATTCATAGGATACAATCATACATGTATTACTTTATTCTGAAATCCACCTCATTGATGTGTTTTATGTATCACACTGGTATTTCTCCAGGCATAAAAGATTGATTGATTGATTGATTGATTCTCCTTTTTTTATATTTGTCACTGAAGAAAATGGACAATGATCGTTTTTTCTGGAGCTGCAAGGTTTTGTTATATGGCACCAATGCCAAAGCATAATGTCACATTCATCAATTCAAACTTACTTAAGATGCAGACTTTGATTTTTTACATACATGTAGGTAAAATTTACTAGGTAAATATTTGTATACCTAGACTTTATCTATGGTGTGTAATTTGCATTAAAAGGCCAAAATTGTTAATAAACATTTCATGTATCATCTATGCATTGACTTACATGCATCTTTTACACTGTTCTTTAGTGATATCTTTGTTATCGAGCAGTGATAAGATAATGACATTCACAAAGAATATATTTGAACTGAGCAACTTACTCAAGCGTCTCTCAGACATTGACTTTTCCAAATTTCTTATTATTGCATTCCACAGATGATGGCAAAGCTAATCCTCACCACCGGCCATTTGGTTTTCCTGGAGGTTCTGTTCATTTGTAAAATATGGTACTGTGCATGGGTAATTTTTAAAAAGCATGCAGTGCAGATGTGGGGTTGGTGACAAAATGCAAAAAAAATAATTTTTCTTTTTAATTGATAAATTGCTGTCTTAAATGGAGACACAGATTAAAGATACATGCACTGTAGTTGATAGTTCACGTGGATCTTTTAAGGACAAAAAGCGGGAGTAAACACGGTCAAATCAGTTCATATGCTGAGCGTTTCGAAGCCTTGGCAATATGGGAAATTACAAAATTTGCTCTCACAGGGTCTCGTAGTTCCATTTGACTACACCTTCTCTCCAAATCTCAGAGGAGTGCTAGAAGTCTTTATCTCTCACGCGTGCACACATATCTGTATCTGCATATTTGAAAAAAAAACACGTTGTAACACCCTACTGTTGCCAAGCCCTATAACAGCCAAAATACTATAGTCATTGTAAGAAACATGATAAATTAACAATCATGATTTGTATAAGACTGTCGGATATGAAGAATTACATTAGAAAGAATTACATTAGGCGCAGATCTTTTTCTGGGTTGCTATTTATTGCTCGGGTGTGCACACTCGTTCACAGCTTATGCTGGCTGATACATGTACAGCGAAAGTTTATCGTTCGTTTAAAGCCCATGCTAGATTATTTAATAATTATTTGTCGTGGTGTCTGATCAAGAGTGTGTAATTCGACATGATTATGTATGAATGTGTAACTCGACGCAATTATGTGCTCGTATCTGACTCAAAATTAAAAGAAAATTATTTCAATCGTTCACAGTCGTATTTTACAGAAAAAGTTAATCGTTTGTTTGCAGCTTATGCAGGGTGTTTACTTGCCATTTGATGTCATTATTTGTCATTGTATTTTAACGACAAGTGATCGTTTGTTGGTTGATGATGAATCACTCTGGATGTAAAATAGTATAAAATCAGTTCGCTTTCAATAGGTTGCGTGTGCATTTACAGAAAAAGAGGATACAAAATAACGTTGTCTTGTCACATAGACAACAGTGCCGTCAGTTTAGTTTCTGTGCCCTATATTTAAAACTACAGGTGTTTGCAAGGAAACAAAATAGGTATATCTTTTCGTCTCAAATTGTAAAGTTTAAAGACAAATGATCAGTTTTTTTCCCAATTTTCAAGAAACAACCACGAGAAGTACAATGCACTTTGGCGAAGTCACGCTGTGGCAACTGCTTGCTGCGATTGGTAAGTGTCATTCTTTTATTTCCGTTTCTCTGTAAAAAAAACCTTAATATTTCTGCATTGTGCATGAGAATGTTTGACAATATCTAAAGGAAAGATGACAGGAAACACACCATTAGAACTTATTGATTGCTATTATTTGAACGATAATCAACTTCACAGATTTTATTCATTCAAGCCATAGGTGAGTCGTAGGTTTTTCAAAGCCGCTTTCAATATAATTATTTTAATGCATGTATTGATATACATTTCAATAAAATTAAACCCAAACCGGATTTATTTACAACTTATGAATACAAGTACTGTACAAAGTCTTTACCTCCCGATTCACTGCAGGAAAGGACATAATGATGAAGTGAAGTTTTTTTATTTTGAAATGTCTGATTAATGCAAAGCGTCTTTTTAGTCGAAGTTGCATCCACGTGTCATATATTTTAATAATTTAAAAAAAACAAAGAAATAGTCCATTACGAAAATGAATTTTTCAGCTTTATATGTGTATCAACCAAATATGGTGTACACCTTTGTCTTTCCATGGAAAGGTTTCAACTTAATTGTAAATATGTTTGTTAACATGCATCTTTATTCATTATTGCATAGCTTTATCAAAATGTTTTCCTGTAGTAATTCTATTACAAAACAGTGTCAATGTCTTGATCTTCTCTTTCAGTTTTTTGCTTGTCACCAGCTGATGCAATCAGGGAGATAGATGCAACAGCGTACACTATCAGTACAACCAGCACCGACCCCACTGAGCTGATCCAAGGGCTAAAACAAGGCGACAATTTTCGTCCAGTGACAGGATTCAGACGCGTCGATGGTGTTCGGAAGGTTCGCTTCGAACAGACGTATAATGATATCCCGGTTTACGGCTCGGTAGTCGTCATGGAGAAGAATTCGAACGGGGAATTTTACGATGTTTCTGACGGGGAGCTATTCGAGGATATCCTAACGGACTTGGACGACACTGACCCGATGATAACTATAGAGGAAGCTATCGATGTCGCCATAGCCGCAACCAGTGATGCAGAATCTGCGTTCAAATCTGAAGCCGTTGTCGACCTCCTAGTCTCTGATGAAGGCGGATATGCCCATCTAATTTATCGCGTAAAATTTCTGGCGAAAAAGGGTAGCGGCTACTCCAGCCCGGTTGTAATCGTTGACGCTGATACCGGCGAAGTTTTGAGAAGTTTTGAATCCCTGATGACCGAATCTATTCAAATTGGCGGAGTTGGGGGCAATCTCAAGTTCGGAAAGTATGTCTTTGGTAACCCTGCGGGGAATTGTTCCACTGGAGGCGGCAGCAGCACCCCACAGCCCAACGCTGGACCAACTACAGCTTCTCCCGAGCATACGACCGAACCGTCATACTACGACGACGACGACTGGTATTGGACTGAAGAGAGTTATTCAGTTGGCACAGACGACAAGTTGTTAATCAGACGACGGCGACAAGCTGAGTCTTGCAGTGCTAACCAATTCCCAAAACTGACCGTCGACAAACTGGCTAACGGCAAATGCGCGCTAAAGTCAAAAAACACCCAGATATATCACGTCCAGGGAAAGTCTGCTGAGCAAGATCCCGGACTGGGTGAACTCCTGAAAGAGGTCTACTCAGTTGACTGTGTCAATAATTTCAACAATGTCAACGATTTTGCAAACGGTGGTTACAGCCCTGCGAATGACGCGTTTTTCTATAGCGAAAAGACATTTGAGATGTTTCAGAAATTGTTGAAGAAACCAGCCGTGAAAGTGGAACCTCCAGGTCCCTTGAAAATTGCTGTTCATTTTGGTACGAACCATGAAAATGCCTTCTACTACAAAGATCGCTGTTTCTTCGGCAATGGTGCCACCACCTTCTACCCTCTAGTTGATGTGAATGTAGTTGCTCACGAGCTCGCCCATGGTTTTACCGAGGACCACTCTAACCTTGAGTATACAGGAATGTCAGGGGGTATGAACGAAGCATTTTCGGACATGGCCGGGGAAGCCTTAGAATATTACCTGTTCGGAAAGGTCGACTGGATCGTTGGAGGAGCTTCCATGAAAGAAGCAGGTAAAGGACTTCGGTACTTCGACGATCCTACAAAGGATGGGCATTCCATTGGCCACGCCCGAGATTTCAGATCCGATATGGATGTTCATCTCAGTAGTGGGGTTTACAACAAAGCTTTCTACAACCTAGCCAATAGCAATGGTTGGAACGTGGAAAAGGCTTTCAGGGTCTTTGGCACTGCCAACGTTGTTTATTGGGGAGCCAAAGCTACCTTTAACACCGGCGCCTGTGGGGTTCGCAAGGCAGCTGCTGATCTGAAACTACCCACTCAAGATGTTATTAATGCCTTCAGCAGCGTTGGTGTCACCTGCACCTCAGCTAAGTAATAAGGATTGTCTACCATGAAAGAAGATCAACCATAATAGCTTTATGCAATTTATTATAATTCTGCTTATTCTGCCTTTATCCTTTTTTTTTCTGAGTATGGCAAGAACTTTTGGTACAAATAAAAGCTGTTTTACTTTGTTACATTTAAATCATTACGTACTGGCGGACTTTTTAAATTAAAGAGCGCTATACCCCTGCCGGAAAACGTCAAACCAACCCGTATTGTTTGTTTCCCGCGGACGACCTGTTTTGAGGGCCTTTATGTTATATCTTACAATTTCCATATAAACGCTCTCTTTTCTTCGTCCATATCTATTCAGTTTCAATATACATTTATCAGTGGAGTGCTCAACTTGTAATCGTGCACATTCGGTAGTTATTTTATCCTGATAGTAATTTATACTCATCCCATTACTGTATCAATACATCGTCACGGTTTAAATAGAAAAAATGTCATCGCATCTAAAATAATCGAAAATATATGCGTTATGTGCTTATTGAAACCCTCTGAGTATCAAGTCCAATTCTTATTAAAGGGATAATAACTCTTCGTATGAGGTCTATATTTCACAATAAAAACATTGTGAATAACTCAATATATTAATCAGAAATATAATATATTCTGTTTTACGACAAAAACAGCAGTTATAGCTATTATTTTGATATCTGAGCTTGTCTTCAAACCACGTGACCTCCATTGATGGTTATACTCTGTTAAAATCTCTTAAGAGATTTTAACAAAAAACCAAACTTTTGAGAAAAAAAAACAGGGACTAACTTTGAATGTAAAAATGGATTCATTAACCATTGGTTAGCATGGGAAAATTGTTGTTTACTCCGTGAAAATTCTATTATCCCTTTAAGCAAACCGCTGGCACACGTCTCTGAGCTTTTAAAAAAGGCATACATGCAACTTTGTATAGCTAAATTTTGATTTTCCTTGAAATTTCCACAACTTTTCTTTAATCTTTCAGACACACCATATCGATCACCGACGACAAAATCACAATCTATAAAACCATTTTTTGAATTCCAAGTTTTGAAGTTTTTAAACTCTCTTGTAATGGAGCTGGCGAGGAAAAAGCAAAGTTGATAAGTTGGTTAATGACCGGTGTACCATGAAAATCTGACTCCCCAAAAATTTGACTCCCCAGTCAAATTTTCATAATGTAAATGTGACTCCC